TACAGCGTGAAGACGAAGCTTGGGCTGATCCAAGAGCATCTCGTTGCATATACACAGTTTACTGCAACCGTTATTCTCTTTGTAGTTAAAGTTTAGTTGGTGGTACATGTGTATGAAAATGTTTCCTAAATTAATAGTTTAGTTCATTTATTATGCACCCCATACCCATCTTGTGGGCGGTAGTGGAAAGGGTTACAGAGGCACATAATGGGCTCAGAGACTGAACCCCACAATTCATTTAGCTAAGCAAGTTACAATCTTGATGAGCTAGTTACAAAACTCATTATACTTATTAATTTGAAAATACCAGGCAAATTTTGAAGGGAAATATTTTAAATTTAAATTTTATCACTATTGTTTAAGGGATTTAAAGAAGTTTAAGGCCTTGCCAATATTGTGCGAGATAAAGTTTATACAAACAATAACATACCTTTGAGAGCAACAGAATCATCGTCCCCCATTTTCTGTGGTTCGTTGAGCTGCCCGGCCGCTGCCCCTGGCCGTTACTGTAAAGATATTATGGGTATGAGGGCCCGTGGGTATGATGCCAGGAATATTGTGGGTATATATGGTGTATCGTAAGTCTCGAATTATATTTCGCGAGTCTAGAACCACTACGGAGTCGGAGATCATTCCCTGGAATACATTCCATCTTGGTGACAGTGCGACATATGCGAATTATAATTATTATTATATTACAGTGTCAGGATCACGTTGGGCTAACGTTACCTGTAGTAGGGGACTACACGGTATAGGTTAAGTAATAATTGTAAATAAGAAGCAATAAGATGCTTATCTTAACATACTAAGAAGGTTAGGTGAGGTCGGTGTTTTCTATGAAGCTTTTCAAGGTAAACTAAAGTATTCACAATCAATTAGTATGTCATATATGCACTTATTAAATAAGCCAATATTGACTATAAGCAAGTGCGAGAACGGGTTTCCCAGTCTTGAGCACTCTATATGCAAACACTGAGGAGGAACTGGGATCACGATCTCTTCTCACACTACATTATTGAATGTCCAGTCATTAGACCCTTCACACCTGCCGGTATAAGGTACCTGGAGCTTTGCAAATCACATATTAATTATTTACTCTCATGTTCTGGAAAATATTCTCGGAATGCACCCAAAGTTTGCCAGTGCAGACTAATGGTCAACTGGCCCTGTATGACGAACTATCCTGTGAGATGAGGATTTTTTTAGCATCACGTAGACACACACTCTTGACACACTATGTAACCCTTCTATCAACCTGTCCTCAGGGAGGGAATACCCTCAAGGAATGGATTGAGAACTACATAAGTAATGTTATTATCTACTCTCTATTCATGGTAAGGTCAGGTTAAGGTTTGGCCAGGTTACGTTTCATTACGTTAATATGATGTATTATTGATGATAATGTGACATATGGAATTCGAAAATAATTTCAGTGTACCCGAGAATTTCGGTTACAGAAAAATTAATTCTTAAAATAAAATGTTTTCAGCATATTTTTTTATATTTTAAACCAACGATTTATAATATAATAAGGTTATAACTTGGGAATAATCTCTGTTTAGAATAAAGCTTTACTTGCCAGTTTACATGTAGACTGTTACTGGAACCTTTATATGCTTTCACACCATCACAAATATCTAGATAACTTACCAGATGGTTTGTGATTGGCGGGGGGGGGGGTTCTTATGGTAATGGATTTGATCTAAGGATAGGTTCCATATATTCTATGGTAGCTGCATAAATGCAGAGGTACCTAACTATGTTACAAAAAAAAAAAAAAACAGACACACCGAACCCCATTATATCCCATCAACATTCGCGGATACACTCTTAAAGTGTGTCTTCATTTTCAGGATGATCAGGAATATTGTTTCCCCGGTGACCTTTTGAGTCACTTGGTGAGTCCGATGCCAGTGATATCGCTCGCCTTATCGGTGTGCTCTCGTATTGGTATCCTGGACGATATCTACGAATTACTGAATAATCTACGACACACACACACACGGTGCTAAATATTCTTCCATGTTTGGTGCCTCCTTTTAATAATTACTTAAATATAAGCATTCACACTTTAATGATAACCTAGTGTTGAAACGAATGACGAATGTCTTGGCCGAGAGCCGAGAAATTGAGCATAAACTTGGATTGCCAATAAGCAGTCTGAGAGCAGCAGTACAGCAAGAACTTCAACAAAATCTTGTAGAACTGAGACAAAAGTGAAATCGACACCAGTAATTCCATCTATCATCATACTGTCATGCAAGAGGAGCCACACATCTATGGATCATCCAATAAAATCAGCAGACTTCTAGTTGTTACTACTGCTCGGCTTAGACTCGGTTACAAGTATCCCTGGGAATTTTCATTATCTGCTGATGTAAACCTGTCCAAATGTAAACTGTGTCAACAAAATTAATCGCACACCCTCCGTCACTATGTGATGGAGTGCGGAAAGATACGTGAATTCAGAGACAATTCTATGACAAATGTTCATAAGATGTGTAAATATTTCATTCAAAATTATATGTTCCCAGAAGTCTTGGCCAAATATCCACCGTTAGCTAACTGTAGGTAATACCTGAGTGATTGTAACCCGGTTATCAGTGTTACGAACATTTAAGTATTTTTCCTTCTGGTGACAATGGTAACTTCCACAATATCTTCTCAACAAGGTGAAAACCTTTTCACCTTTTTGAGTGAAAAAAATCACTCAAAATGAATGTACACGGGAATGTGTACCATGAGAACTCGCATGAATATCAGGATTAGAATAATTAATGCTAGTTAATAATATCATAATAAAAAATAGCATTAATGCCAAAGATCATCAACGCTGTAACTTGGGTTAATTGAATACAGAGCATAAGTTCCTGAGCCCATACGTGCTTCTGTAATATTTTCTATTACCTCTCACAAGATGGATATAGCGTCTACTACTGTTCACAAGAAGGGACTTGGTTTTACTACCGCTCGCAGGATGGGTATGGGGGTCAACTAATGCTCACAGGATGGGTATGGGGTCCACTACAACTCACAGGATGGGGTATGGGGACCATTACCGCTGACAGGAAGGGTATGGGGTCCATTACCGCTCACAGGAAGGTATAGGGGTCCAATACCACTCACAGGATAGGGTATATGGTCCACTACCGCTCACAGGAAGGGTATGGGGATCCAATACCACTCACAGGATGGGGTATGGGGTCCACTACCGCTCACAGGAAGGGTATGGGGGTCCAATACCACTCACAGGATGGGGTATGTGGTCCACTACCGCTCAAAGGAATGGTATGTGGTCCACTACCGCTCACAGGAATGGTATGTGGTCCAATACCACAGGATGGGTATGGGGGGTACATAATAAATGAAATAAGAGTAATTTCCCTCTCCTCACCCTCGTACGCGAGGAAGGAGAAGGAAAGAGAGATAATGAAAAAGACGTTAACGACACTCACACACCGTGATGTTTACAACGATGATTTCCTCAGTGAACACAGCAGCAGCAGCACCGGCCTCGCCACCACCCACTTGGGAACTAACATTCAACCTGCATTTAATTTCCTGAGGGTGATATCTCCGCGTATACGTATGAGCTGGCGCCTGTAGCTAAGGGCGATCTCATAACGCTGAGGAGCGTGCATCTCGCCTCTCTACTCCCTCTGTGACGATTATGCTGTTGTCGCTGTTAGTAGTCCAATACCGACAGCTGATTAGATTAGTTAGATGTAAAAAAGGACATTATCTTAGAGTTACTGAGCTGGTTGCTCTCTTTCTCTCTTTTACTGAGCAATGGTTTTCATTCAATTTGGCTCTCAACAAAAATATTCAATTGTATTCTGTAGTTTAAACGCAAACGTGGTTGGAATGTATACGTTCCCTGCAATTCAACATGGCGCTTGTGTACGTATTCTTCTATATAGGAGTAATTGTACTGTTTGGGAAAGGGTTAAGTGAGGTTAATTAGGCTAGCCAGCGCGTGATCGGAAGCACACAATGTGTCGGTTGGCGAGGCTGCACTTGTCGACACTGTTTGCTGCTGTTTCACAGCCGGCACACAAACTACATCCCAGGGACCTGTATTCCAGCAGCGTAACACCCCAGGGAACTGTAACCCAGCACCCCCACGGACCTGTATTCCAGCAGCGTAACACCCCAGGGAACTGTAACCCAGCACCCCCAGGGACCTGTATTCCAGCAGCGTAACACCCCAGGGAACTGTAACCCAGCACCCCCAGGGACCTGTATCCCAGCAGCGTAACACCCCAGGGAACTGTAACCCAGCACCCCCAGGGACCTGTATTCCAGCAGCGTAACACCCCAGGGAACTGTAACCCAGCACCCCAGGGACCTGTATCCCAGCAGCGTAACACCCCAGGGAACTATAACCCAGCACCCCCAGGGACCTGTATTCCAGCAGCGTAACACCCCAGGGAACTGTAACCCAGCACCCCCAGGGACCTGTATCCCAGCAGCGTAACACCCCAGGAAACTGTAACCCAGCACCCCGGGGACCTGTATCCCAGCAGCGTAACACCCCAGGGAACTGTAACCCAGCACCCCCAGGGACCTGTATCCCAGCAGCGTAACACCCCAGGGAACTGTAACCCAGCACCCCTGGGACCTGTATCCCGGCACCCCAGGGACCTGTATCCCAGCAGTACAGCCACCGCCTAATTTCTGCCATCTTCCACCTAATTTAATACATATATAAGTGATATTCTAGACCTAGCAAAGTCTAGGTTTAATTGTTGTCTTCTTTCTTGGTGCTCTACAGAATTAATAATACTCTATGTGGACTTTGATCACAACAGACCATTACGTAAACTCGACCAATAATTCTATAATTACTCCCATTTTGGGATGACAGGTTGGGTTTATAAGGCGAGTGAGAAGAGTTTTGGAAACGAGGAAATTCAATTTCGCAGCCTATTCTTCAAAAGTATTTGCATAACAGAAAACAGATCATCTTGTTAGGTAATTTCGTCACAAAGGTGTTGTAAAATACGTGAATTTTTATTAATGAGCGGAGATAAGGTTACAGGTTTATTGCTGGTTGAGACTCGAGATGTTTTAGAAATCAGGATACTGGCTCTTGTAGCTGCGTCAGTCCTGCTGAGATCACTGGAATGGGTCTGTGAAGTTGGCCTTGAAGCCCTGCATGATCTCCGGAGCGTGGAAGGCACAGAGCGGATACAGCTTGTAGCAGGGGTCGCCTTGCTGGCCATGCCACACAGCCTTGTCGTACAGGCCGTAGTAGGTCGTCTCGTCGCTCTCCTTACGACCCCTGTCGAGGTGGTGGTACAAAGGTTTAGCATATCATTTATTTAGTACACCACGTATTTATATAGATTTTACCATTCTCCTAATATTTATTTAATTAGGGGGGTTCAGCAAGAGTAAGTAATTATCAAAAGAAGGTACTAAGCCGGGGAGACTATGCAGCAAGGGTTCCACAAGAGATAGTGATAAATAGGTTAATTCTACTCATATGCAAAGAGAATTTAGCCAGTATCAAGAGTAGACAGAAGTTATCTACTTTCAGTTAACAACGAAATTCGCGCGTTTGTGTGTGTGTGTTTGTTTATCTAAAGCACGACCCGGAATTATTTCACGAGTTCCAAAGTTGAAAGACTGCCTGACCAGTGACTCGTAAGGTCACAGTACCGTCCCTCGCTAGCACGGGGCACCAGGAGGTGGGCCGACGCGAGGCGAGTGCTTTGACTCACCACCCTGTGAAAAACTACAATCTAAAAATTGAGTCGTTGGTAAGCCAGGAATTATTATTAGTTTAAATGAACAAATGTAAAGTGTATTAGTTTACTATTGCCTCTTGCAGAGAAGAATGATTATTAATCTAAAAGGTGTGCCAGATTCACCAGTGTAGTGTGGTGCACCTCACCTGTAGGGCAAGAGCAGAACGATCTCGTCTTCTGTCAGGTAGTTGGGGTCCTTTTGGGCCAGTTCACACACCAGCCGCAATCCACACTGGTCCTTGTCTTGAGCAGCGATCTGTACCAGTGGAATACCACATGTCAAGAACGTTATGAACCGTGTCATTTGATGCAATAATAGTTATCAAGAGCTACATAATCGTGTTTTCCTTGATAAACAAAAGATAAAACTCAATTCTCTTTCTTACCTTCCAGTAGAGGTCCTCCAGCTTGTCCTGTTCAATGTGTTCGTCTAGACTTCTTCTCTTCCTACCATACCATCCACCGCCACACCAGCCACAGCCTCCACCACATCCTCCACAGCCACAGTGGTGACACCGGTGATGACGGCCCGCCAGGTAACCCTAGAAATGAGAACTGACAACGTAGTTATGTTGCCACCTCTGTAGGCTTCATACCTCTGCAGCCATACCATACCATAACCATTCATACCATACCATACCTTCATACCACCTCTGTGAGCTTCATGCCCTTCAAGCATGCTAGCAGTAATCTATCAACGTTTACAAAACTTCTCTGGCAGTTTTATCTGTGCAGTTATATTAAATTATTTTTTTTTCTAAACTAACAGCAAACAGGCGAAACTATTATATTTTTTAATCGCGTTGTCTGCGCACAGGTGTTCTATTAGTCGAAATCAAGGGAGAAAAATATTATAACGTGAAGTAGTCTTCGACTAAATCATTTTGCCAGTTCACCTTGTCCATCTTTGCTTCGCCTTTAATATATTCCTTAACAATTATTTTTTGTAGTTTATTTTGTTCTACAGACGTGGTCATTCATTTAAACATTTACATTGCTAATCAACATATATATACATTTTGTTGTCCTCCATGGACAGTATTGGATAGAGATCAGTTAAACTACATATAGGCTACTGAACAATCAACCACAGGTAATTGAAGTGTTTTACAATGCTAACCAACATACATATATTCATATATTTTAGTGTGTACTTCATAGACAGGGTTAGAAATATCTGTTCTGCTACATATAGTGCAGTGGGTTAGTCGGCTTCCCGTAATTTAGGGTCATGGTAGTATAGTTGGGTTCATTCTCGATTCACAATCGGGAATCTTGGGTTCGAATCCCGGGCGGAACCGAAATGGTTGGGCACGTTTCCTTTCACCTAATATAATTGTTCACCTGTAAATCTGGGAGTTAGTCAACTGTTTTAGGTTTGTATCCTGGGGAAGATCAGTAGACCCAAAACCCCCTCAGCCCATTGTGCCTGTCACTCACCCCAGCGAAGCCCAACGCTGCGGCAGCGAAGCGCCCACAGCAAGGCTCCGGGGCCGCCACAGCCTCAGCCACTGAGAGGTCCACCACCCCAGCGCCCAGCAGCGTCGCCACCGTCCACACGCCCACCACACCCGCACTCTCCATGACGCGCCTGCCAAGAGGTTATATAAATATATACACATTGTATACCTGTTCAGGAACAGGTATACATCAAAGAATCTTCGAAATAATTTACAGGTTGTAGAGTCAGGTTTATAACCTCGGCTTTGAAGGAATAAACCATGTTCGAAATTTTATCACTAAGGCAGCAAATATGGCATTTGCATACAAGTTATCATACAGAACGTGTGCCTCTATTATGTGGCTGACACTGTGGCGTACACAAATAAATTTAAAGTATATACTTTAAATTACAGTTATAAATAACTGTAATTCGAAAGTATCACCTTTTAAAATACGTGACAATCATTGGACATGAACACCGCGTAGGGCTCGACTCTACCACAGTAGAGCAGCGACTGCATGTTAGGCTTGCCAGTTACACAAATTTGTATACGATATGAATTTATGTGCTTAGAGCTGAAATCCGGTTCTCGGTGTATATACACTGAAGAGTATCCTTTCGTGTTGGAATATGTTCAGAGCTAAAGTGTACTTGTGTGGGTTGGTCAGTAAGCACTTTGTGACCTCAGTAATCCTCCAGAGGTTCATAAGCTTTTAAGCTCAACGTCAAAATCAATCATGATAAGAAGGAGGTTGCAAAATGAGATATATTATCAGAGAGGACAGGTTGTATATATACCGATACATAACAAGCTGGTTGGCCAGTATGCAATTATGGTGACCTAAATAAATATAGGAATATAAGTTATGCTTTCTTAAGTTTATAATACTTTTAGTTATATCAGTCGTATATGTCCCTTTACCATATTTTTCTGCCTTGTGCAGAAAGAGATCTTCATAAATTTCACCTGTAACTGCACTGACTGTTCACATCTACACTTTCGTTTCACTCTAACAGGCGTGATTCGCATGTTCAGAGGTGATGGAGAGCCACTCGTACAATATAACTCATGTTTGTGCTATACAATCAGGTACAAACAAGGCTTTGATACCATTTTACATCTTCAGGTTAGACAATTTTCAAATATGTCAGTCCACAAAAGGGGGCAGTGTTATTATCTCAAGCCGGTATTCGTTATTTGTATATACGTTAAAAAAGTGTAGCATATTCTCATTATGAACACTGAGTATATAATATAAACTTTGAAAAGCTACAGTCTTCATGGACCCGACAGTTGATAGATCTTATGCCTTACAAACCTATTCTCATTATCATTTCTCCGTGGTGAAATGATGCCTTCTTGACGTTTGCGTAAATGAACCGGAGTGAAATATATATAGCAAGCGCCCGTTCCATACCTTATAACAACGAGTAGCTGTGCTAGAAGTATTGGGGTGATGGTCCGGCCCGCGGCTGGTCTGGGCGTGTGAGGCAGAGTGAGGTGTCCTAGGCTGCATATATACTGTCCCGGGACACCTCTCAAGGTCAACACCAACATGTAGCATCATGCCCACATGTTAATGCAATTTAGTTTTGACCTTGCCCATACGGATGAATTGATTTCAAGATGTGTTTGATGGATCACATCGATACGAAGTTGGTGTTTATACACGTAAATCCCCACAACATGTTCAACACCGTCTTGGTGATCACGGAAGGTACTTCGAGGAGTGAGAGACCTGGCTTGGGACAGGTTTCCTCCGGAGAGCATAACTGAGTTTCCTTGAGATTACGCAAATAATCATATTAATCGGTGTTCATATTTTTACCTCCGCGTCAAGGGGTGACTGGTCTGTTCTTGCCTCAGTATGGAGAATTGTAAAATATTTACATTTCTACATCCTACACCTGACGATAGTATATTATTTCCCTGTACGTGTATCGCCTCCTCCAACCATTGCATTGCCTTGCAGGTTGATTTGTTTTGGTTTTCCTATGAACATATATGTATTTAATTTACCCCATCACCTAGACTCGTAGAGTAATTTAACTCTACATTTGGTTGTAAATTGCAAACTATAATATTTATCTGTGAAACTTGCCGCTTAAAGTCTTGTGAGTATCCCGGGTATCCAAGGATACCGAAGGGCCTCCCAGGTATCCAGGGATACCAAAGGTCCTCATGGGTATCCAAGGATACCGAAAGACCTCGTGAGTATCCAAGGATGCTAAAGAACCATGCAAACAGATGAAAGGAAAATTGAGGTATCGAAGGTTACTGAAAGATTGCTCCTGTTCGGCTAAGCTCTTGAGGAGTTCGCTGGTATCACTGAATAAGCACTTCTTTAAAAAGCAAGATGATACGTGATTATATAAATTTGAAATAACTATTTAATTTAATTTTTTTTATAATATTCATAAGTAAAGGATGTTCAATGAAGGGAAGACACAACAACAATAATTGTTTAACAAATCAATTCAATTTGTGTATAAATCTAAACTGAAATAAGTGATGTCAACTACTGAAGACTTGCAGACTTCCGTAGATTGGGACGTGAGGCTTCAGTTTTTGAACTGCTGGGATCACCAGTGCCGGAGGCTTTCTGATTTTCTTACCTGCGAATTCAAAAGGAAATTCAAACTGTGTATATACACGGAAATATTCCTCTCGGTGTATACCACGAATCGTGCAGTCATTCTTCCCCAGTACTGTTTACCTCCACTGGGAAAGATGGGTATGTTTACTGTGACCCTGGGAACCCCCTTGCAGAGTAAACAGCTTCGGCCCGTGTACTCAAGCCCCCACACAGCGCGTACTCTGCCTCCCTGGAGCGTATACGCCTTGCCCCATGTTGAGAAGTCAAGCTCACTATAGTTCTTTGTCTCCCGTGTTTCACACTGTTGTTTTCCCTGTGTTCTGTGTCACACACTAGTTTCCCTGTGTTCTGTGTCTCATATTGTAGCTTCCCCGTGTTCTGTGTCTCATATTGTAGCTTCCCCGTGTTCTGTGTCTTATATTGTACTTTCCCCGTGTTCTGTGTCTCATATTGTACTTTCCCCGTGTTCTGTGTCTCATATTGTACTTTCCCCGTGTTCTGTGTCTCATATTGTAGCTTCCCAGTGTTCTGTGTCTCATATTGTAGTTTCCCTGTGTTCTGTCTCCCCCAATGTAGTATTCCCCCGTGTTTTGTGTCTCACACTGAAGTATTCCCCGTGTTCTATATGTCTCCGAATGTAGTATTCCCGTGTTCTGTGTCTCACATTTAAAAGTTCAACAAGGCATTGCTGAAAAAATCAGATCTACAGAAACAATTTTGTTGACGGATTTTAAACGTTTTTTTTTGGCGGATTTGGAATTTTTAGTTGGCGGATTTACACTTTTGCATAGATTAAAAAAAAGGGGTGGGGGGAATTGCACAAGAAGCCCTCACCTACGCTGATTATTACAAGAAAAATCCCTCACCTAAGCTTAATATTGCAAGGAAAAGCCCTCACCTACGCTGAATATTGCAAGAAAAAGTCCTCCCCTACGCTGAATATTGCAAGAAAAAGTCCTCCCCTACGCTGAATATTGCAAGAAAAAACCTCACCTAAGTTAAATATTGCAAGAAAAAGCCCTCACCTAAGCTGAATATGGCAAGAAAAAGCCCTCACCTAAGCTGAATATTGCAAGAAAAAGCCCTCACCTAAGTTGAATATTGCAAGAAAAAGCCCTCACCTAAGCTGAATATTGCAAGAAAAAGCCCTCACCTAAGCTGAATATGGCAACAAGAACCTCCTCACCTACTCTGATTACATTTAATCTGTGAACAATTCACCTCTGAGCAGCTACAGCCCCGCTCTTGTGCCAGGTAAGTCCACTACGGGCTTACCATAGCCCGTGCTACTTGCCCCGCTCCTGTGCCAGGTAAGTCCACTACGGGCTTACCATAGCCCGTGCTACTTGCCCCGCTCCTGTGCCAGGTAAGTCCACTACGGGCTCACCATAGCCCGTGCTACTTGCCCCGCTCCTGTGCCAGGTAAGTCCACAACGGGCTCACCAAAGCCCGTGCTACTTGCAACTTTTTGTTCCCAGTAGCTGACTCTAAAACAACAACAGCAGCACCTCTGAGGAGTCATCAACTGTATTGTTGGCGAGAGTAGACAAGTGAAGAGAGCTTGTCCTCTTTGTCCTGGGAATCACCAAGGCCACCAGCGCCCACCTGTCATGACATCACCTGTCATGATTTTCATGCTGAGTTATTGACGAACAAACACAGTGGAGTCAATTCTGACACGCAGATTGTAGAGGGAAGATTGACGATGGTGACGCAGTTTAAATCGTGTGTAAATATGTTAAGAGATGATGATAGATGTCTTCCAGGAAATCACACCTGACCTGGGCCCAGATTCATTACGAATTTAAGCAACTTCTTACGAAACCTGTACATCGTTCCTTAATCATGGCAGCTTCCAACACTAACACCAAAGGTACACATGAAAAGCTGGTAAACATTTGAACAACGTTTAAAGAACTAAGGAATCTTAGTCTTTATTAAAGCAATATGCAGCAACGGCACAAGGTTCACACTTTATGAACAACACCAAAATCTTTCCCTGAGGGCCAACATCTCTCAAGTGGCCTCGACGGGGACAGAAAGCCGGCGTCCTGTTAAAGGACCCACATTTGTCCAGCTGAATTGTGAACTGCAGCAGTGTTTTGGCACTGACGGCTTCGGAGGGTAAACGGTTCAATGGGTTTATAACCCCATGGGTGAAATTGTTTTTGTTCTGCACTGGGGTTTGTTGAACTTTGAGCCGGTGCTCCTTGTATGTGTTACGTTTAACTTTTGAAGGAATGAGAAAATGTAAGGACATTCTCGTGATCAACAAGTGGGCTACTCTGAGAGAAGAAATTATGGAAACCACCTCCATCAACAATTTGATGTGGGGGAGGGGGGTAGAAATAGCCTAAGCTACTCTATCCCTTTGAGATGTATTTGTTTTTCTTGTCTCAATAAACTTACTTGAACTTGAATGTTAGTACCGGTACATCACCCGACCTGGTCACTACCACACTGACACACACACTGGGTATAACCCTAGAAATTCCTATACCTCCCCACTGCGTTAATCAGAGAGCCAACACCACAAACGTTTGAGGCTTCGCCGGACGCCGGATATGTATTTCTATAACAATCTTCTATCCACGTTCACGTACTCTTGTATAATTTTGGCATGTATTCTTATTTCCCGTATCTTTCAACCTCTCCTGCTTGTTACATATGTTTACTTTAGTCTACCATGTAGGCGGATGAGTATGAATAGTTATTAAAGATAATTATTCAGTTTCACCTTCTTATCGTTACGCGAGTAGGCTTCCTTATCTTACTCGCTTAGAATTATATTTGCAGTTATAGTCGCAAATGTGAAATGGTGTTTCTTAATACGTCAATTGATGTTTGTCGCAGTTATTTTTAAAGGTTTAACATTCATCTAGAAGTAGATAGCCCTTAAGCACAATACAAGTCATTGTCCATAAAATTTGGTGAATCCTGTCAAGCTCTTAAACAAATTGTAAATATATCATTACGTATATGTTATTTACACAAAATAAATAGGTTTATATTTTTATTACAGTATATGTGACAAAATTAAATTAAATTAACCAGTTTCTAAGCTTTATCTTAAAAGCCTAACGGCAAAACATCACAATACGATGACTAAAGAGTTGTTCAAGAAGTTGAGGGGAATGTGAAGGTTCCGTTGTTCTTGATGTACTTGCGATACTCCCCCATGACCTGCTGGGCGGTGAAGGCGCAGAGAGGGTAGTTGGTGGGGCAGGAGTGGCCCTCTTGGCCGTGCCACGCTGCCTCGTCATAGTTGCCATATGTAGTGCCATCACTCTCCCCGACACCTCTGCCAAAAGCATATCAGTTCATTAGACACAAATTATACACTTCTAAATATTTATGTTAAATGTTGATGACGTTTGTCCGGCTTGTTTTGTGAGTTACAACCTATTAATTAGCAGTAAAGCTTTTGTGTATTGGTTTTGCAGGCGACGAGTCACAATAACGTGGCTAAAGTATGTTGACCAGACCACACACTAGAAGGTGAAGGGACGACGACGTTTCGGTCCGTCCTGCACCATTCTCAAGTCGATTGCGAAAATGGTCCAGGACGGACCGAAACGTCGTCTTCCCTTCACCATCTAGTGTGTATTGTTTTTTTCTTTTCTCTAGAGGTGTGTACTCCGAGAGGGGTATTCTGTTTCGTGTTGTATATTCACTGAGAGTTCACTTTAGTCCTGGACTATATTTAGGATTTAGGTATACTTGTTGATGGATCGATAAACTATTATGGTGGTCTTAATAACCATCCCGTGGTTAACAAGCTCAAAGACAAACTAAGTCTTTTCAACCTTTCTTCGCTAAACAACCCATCCTCAAACGCTTTCCAGTGTGTGTATTTTTATACATCTTTCATTATTTAGAGCAACTGCGTAGGTTTGAAGTTTATCGACAAAAAAGATCACAAAAGTCGCAATCTACCTTTCTTTATAACCCCTCAAATACACTTCAATATCAATCTCAAGAATATTTGTAAGATGAAAGTATCGCTTTTAAGATCAGTAATTTTGCCATCATGTTGTGCTCGCAGCCCGCAAGCGTACTTTATCCCATAAAGAATTCAGGATTAAAGTAAACTCAAATGTATTCACGAAGGTTACACCTCTCTGTGTATCCTCAGCCTTGCGTTCCAGTTAATTATGTGAAGTCAAGTTAAAGACTCACCCCTCACGACCAAAGATCACATTCACCCCAAAAAAATCTACCACTTATGGGCTATCTTGAGGTTATCTTGGATCTGGGCTACTCATGCCCGTGCCACCTCTTGGGTGGCTTAATCTTCATCAATCAATCACTCACCTGTAAGGGAGAAGGATTTGGATCTCGTCTTCGGCTAGTTCTCTGGGGTCCTTCTGGGCCAGCTCACACACCAGCCGCAGTCCGCACTGGTCCTTGTCTTCGACTGCGATCTGTAAGAGGTGGTATTTTGGTGCACTGTGCTGGTTTGACGGTAAAGTGGTAGTTGAGCTGAACACTGTCAGCAAGTGGTAGTTGAGCTGAACACTGTCAGCAAGTGGTAGTTGAGCTGAACACTGTCAGCAAGTGTTATTAAAGCAAATTCCCCGGAAATATTTGCAAAATGTGTTGGATAGATAAATAAATGAAATTAATATAGTGCAAATAGGTCATGAATTACGTGATCAGTGTGCCTATACTGTAATGTTTCCACTCATGTTCATGCAATATACAACTGTAGTACAGTGGCATGAGCAGTCGACTCAAAACCGACTGGTCTTGCGTTCGATTCCGGAGGGAGAAAGCGAGACATTTGAGCAACTTTCAATATACCTAAGTTCGGTTCATCTAGCAATAACTATGTACCTGGGAGCTAATCATCTGTTGTCGATTGCATCCTGTGAAAAGTCAGTCGGTGACCTAAGGGAGACTTCGATAATACAAACAGGCGTTTTGTCCTCGACAATGGAAACTTACCGTCTTATAAACCTGCTTGATTTCTGCGTCTTCTAAGAAAGTGAGGATGCTCCTGCGGCGCCTCTTTCCGTAAGCTCCACCGCACCAGCCGCAGGCACCGCCGCACCCACCACAGCCGCAAGAGCCGCAGCCTCCGTGATGGTGGTGGTGATGGTGTTGGTGATGCCTGCCTGCCACCACACCCTGGAGGATGAGGAAGAATCATTGTAGCGTCTGATTGATTGATAAAGATTAAGCCACCCAAGAGGTGGCACGGGCATGAATAGCCCGTAAATTGTAGCGTCTTGTTTGATCTCATTTATTGGGGGGGGGGGGGGTGTAGAAATAGCCTACTTAGAGGCTTTTAAACAAAGAAAAGACTAAAATACAGTTGTGCTTTGCTTTCAAAGAGAATAATTACATTTATAACTTAGTCAACTGTTTAAATTATTACTAATAATTCATGATTTTCTGCAAGAACAACATTCAGGAAAATGAAGTTTACCCCTGTGAAAGCGAGCGCGCCGACAGCCACCACGCCCAGCCCACAACAGGGCGAGGCTTCAACCTCCAGGTAGGACACCACCACGCATGCCAGCGCCCCCACAACCACGCTGGCCAGCTTCATATCTGTATCTGGGAACTAGAATTAAAATGAAACTGGATTATTTTCTAGTTAAATAAAAGATACCTTGACAACATGACTCATTACCTTAGAAAATAACCTAATGCTTGAATTTTGCAGCCTAAATAATTAAAGATAATTAGAACCATTTATGAGTAAAGTTATTGATCAAGTGATTAAATATTACATAGAAAATTAATACTTACATTAAGAAGAGAGCTACAAGTCGAGTCGTTCACAAGCCTATGCTGTCTGGTGTGTTGTAGAGACAGTCTGGGACGTATATATATACTAGGGGCCGGAACCTTCACCCGAGGACACAACATGATCAATATTTGCTCGGAAACTCTGTATATTCTCTCCAGTGCTACCTGTGACGTCACGAGGTTCCTGGTAATGTTTGAAGAAATGTTTGCATGCCTTCATAGAAAGTAGCTGTCTGGTCTCCGCGGGGACACATTGATTAACGTTGGTGGACGGCACTGTTGTTATTCGTTAAGTCTCCATTCTTGGCAAACATAATGGTCTCAGTTTGTAGCGGGTGTGATGAACGCGAGTCCTGTAATTAACTTGATGTTGCCCGTAGAAGCCGCGGGTGTTGGTGGAGTGGGTGTGTCTTGAGACAAGGTCGTCTGGCTTCAAGAGGTCCCTATCCCAGACCTTCCTCTCCCAGCTCTTGACCACCTTCTTTCTTCCTCCTCTCTCTCTCAGCCCCTGCCCACCTTCTTTCTTCCTCCTCTCTCTCTCAGCTCCTGCCCACCTTCCTTCCTTCTCTCCTCCCAGTTCCTGCCCTCCCTTCTTCCTCTCTCCCAGCTCCGACTGCTCATGTATTTTGTACACAGATGAGTACAGCAGTAGATGACTTCCGACTCCTGTTAGTACGCTAAGTGATTTTCCTTCCCATAGCTCATGGTAAGTCTTACTACCCTACTAGATTTTCCCTGAAACACAACCCCTCAATCGGTTTTACTACCAGGTCTTCAGTTGCTGCCTGGCGAACAGAAGCATGAGATGAGGAAACACTGCCAAACTGGCTCTGTTTCTGGATTTGTTCATATTTAATTACATTGTGACTTAAAATTTGTTGACATTTGGTCAGATCTACAAGATCAGGAGACATTCCTAGAGACAGTTGTAATTGAGTTTAAGCCTACATCAGCAGCAGACTAAGCAAATAGCCTAAACTACTCGATCCTTTTAAGATGTACTGCCTTTTCTCAATAAACTTGTTTGAACTTAAACCGCGTTTTCTATGCGTTGGTTAGTTAGGTCGGTAGGTCAGGTTTGAGCGTTTTAGTACCATTTATTTTGTCCGTTGTGGCAACTCAAGAGGACGGACTGCATCCTCAGGCTATTACTCGTCCAAGCTGCGGCCGACGCCTAAAAAAAAAAATAATTTCGTAAATTTGAATGTCGTACAACATTCACAAATTGGATTTATAAAATATAAATTAATATTAATGTATATAATCTGTGTATAATTAGACCTACAACAGGTTAGGTGTTGTGGTTTTCTTGGCAATTATTCAACCGCAAGTTCTTAGGCTATGTTCATTCCATCCAGCGGCCGACCTCCAACGACGCATTCATCATCATTTTTAACATGCTGTTCATTCAAAATTGGATTTTTCTCTAACATGAATTAATATTAATATATATTCTAGCATACTGTGCATATTTAGGCGTAGGTTAGATTAGATTAGGTGTTTAGGTTCTCATGGTAATTATTTGGGCTGGGTTAAATGTTCATCTGCAAATGCTCCCTCCATCCCTTGTACAACAGATGCAAGCAATTGCCAACAGAACTTAAACACTTAATCTAAACCTATAACTGCTTGCTAAATTCCATCATATAATAGTATTAATCTATATTAAAAAAATTCACATTTAATGAATGCGACTTTGGAGACGGATACAGCTTGGACGAACGTAGCCTGAGGGCCGCCTGCTGAAGAACGCTGAAATTATGTAGTCTTGAAAGACTAAGAATAAGAAACGAGTTAATACAAGAATTTACAAACAAATATCAAACGGCAGGGCAGTGGAAAGAGAAAAGTTGTTGAATATGGAAGTTTAACATCACGTCGGCTTCTCATCAAAGTGAAAGAGACATTTCTAACTACATACGGAAATCAATCTTGCAAATAGATTGCACAATACAATAATTAGTAGCAACACTTAAACAATTTGTAAACATATGTCACAGCTTACCAAGCTAGTAATTCAGAGTAACACAGTGTACAAAAGAAGAGACTGAATAATTACGTAGATTCACATGTGTTCCGAACGTAAACAAAGAGGCCAGCGGCGCGTGCTGCTGGCTGCCTTAAGCTGTATTATCTGAAAGTTTACCTCGGTGTGATCTCCTGTCGGATGCTGGCGACGGTGGGCAGCTGTAGGCCTACACTGTGTTTGTAGCTCCTCCCAGGCCTAGTAAAAAGGTACGAATTTCATGCTTGGACTTATATGATAACCTTGGCCTTCTTCCTAGCCCCTCAACCCTTCCCTTTCCTCACCATGACTTTGGCCACTATTTAATGAAAACCTTGCCTCCCCTCCCCCAACAGCCCCACTCCTGTGCTAGGTAAGTCCACTACGGGCTCACCATAGCCCGTGCTACTGGAACGTTTTGTTCCCCCAGTAGCTGAATCTTAAACAACATTTCTCCTCTACTCGACCCATGCCCCCCGCCTCCAGCCCCCACCCTACCATTGGGCCTTGGACCTTCACCCTGCCCTTGGTCTTTCTCCCCCCAACCCAAAGTTTTTTTTCACTTCCTTCGTGACTAACCTCACCCCTTCTCTACATCATTCCTCACCCTTCCCCTTAGGAGGGCCTGACAGCTGAGTGGACAGTGCTTGGGATTCGTAGTAATGAGGTTCCGGGTTCGATCCCCAGTGGAGGCGGAAAAAAATGGGCAGAGTTTCTTTCACCCTGATACCCTTGTTCACCTAGCAATAAATAGGTACCTGGGAGTTAGACAGCTGCTACGGGCTGCCTCCTGGGGGGGGGGTGACAAAAAGGAGGCCTGGTCTAGGACCGGGCCGCGGGGACGCTAAGCCCCGAAACCATATCAAGATAACCTCAAGATTACCTTATCTACCCCCTTCACCATGTTCCTGCTTCCTTCCTTCCTTTCATAATATATCCTAATATGTATTCTAAGGAGTAAAAAACCTGTCAGTAACAATACGATGCCTATTAATTAGGTATCGATAGGAGTGGAGAAGGAAGTATTGCTCTTAACTGATTAGTATTAAAACTGGGTACTCCTTCACTGTGTGGAGAGAGGGAGTGGGGAGCTATAGGGGGGTAATGGGGGATATAGTTATGGGAATTCAAAAAGTTCATGACTAGGACACTGTTTAAAGCTTACCAAATAAATAATAATGTAAACTTAATAATAATAAGTAATTTACCAATAATAATAATAGCAATTTATCAATAATAATACTTATAATAAAATTAATTACTAAAACCCAGCAGCAACAATAAGAATACCAATAAATATACATAATTATTTATATTATTAGCATTATAAATATTTATTAATACTGTATTATTATTGTTGTTAGTGGGTTTTAGTAATTAATTTTATTATTAGTATTATTATCGATAAATTAGTTAACATTACTATTGATAAATTTATATTATTAGTATTACTGATAAATTTATAATATTCTTATTCGTACTGAAAATTTTAATTTGTATTACTAATAATATTATTATTATTATTAATACAGCATTATTAATATTATTAATACAGCATTATTAATATTATTATTATACCTTCCAAGTAAATATTGAAGGATTGGAATATTGACAACGAGTCACGAAACTTCCAGGCTAGGTACCGCTGACTTCTTGGAGTCAGTAGCGTCATAAACAGTTTAGACTTCAGGTGGAAGGAAAATATGGGAACGTCTTAAGGTACTGAACGGCAGTCATTTCTTTTAATGTTTACTGATGAAGATAGGTAGGCGTTGGCAGTCGGGACAATAAATAGATTCACAAAACCAGATAGACAGATTCCTGAAACTACATGAAGGTAACTAAGTATTTGTTATACTATGTTGATTTTAACCAAATATCTTCATATGATAACACAACCAGGGAGGGAAATAAGGAAGCACTAGATGAAAGTTTCTATGAGTTTATAACCCTATGAGTTACGAATCTATCTATCTATCTGAACTTTTGAAGTTGTTTGGATCAATATCCTCAAATTATTCAGTATTTTAAAAGTTTCGATGAGATTAGCCCTGTCATATCTGGTTTGCAGTGTGGTAAGCCCTGTTACAGCCGTTCCTTACATGAGAGTTGACTAAGTTCAGGGATTATTTTTGCTGCCCAGTGTTGAACTCTCTCCATTGCAACTCTGTCTTTTTGAAGATGAGGTCTCCATGATTGGATACAGTAATCCAATTTAAGATTAAGCAAGTGATTTACACAGTTGAATAACTGTATGTAATCTTTTCCTTAAAGTAAATAAAGTACGCTTGATTATTCTTAGGGTTTGATTACTTTTTCTTACTGCCGCTCCCACTTGTTGTGCAACTTTCAGTGAATGATGAATTCTGGCTCCAGGTTCTTTTCTTCATCAATCTATTGCAAAGTAATGATGTTACTTTGGTAGTTGTGCAGTGGGTTTCTATGGCCAACATGCAAGGTCTTTCATTTTTCGATATTAAAAAGCATTTGCCAGTATTCTGACCATTTATGGAGTTAATTAATATAGTTATCTTTTGTAAGGCCTCAGTATAATTTTCACTTCCCACTTTACCGTAAATCTTAGTGTCATCTGCGAATTTGATGATGTGGTTTGTAATATTTTCATCCATGTCATTAATGTATGTGACAAAAAGGGTTAGCCCTAAAATGGACTCTTGTGGTACCCCGTTCGCCGCATTTCTCCAGTCAGATTCATTCCCGTTTAGCACGATCCTTTGTTTTATATGTGTTAACTATTGTTTTAGCGAGTCTAGTATGCTACCATTTATTCCGTGTGCCTATAACTTCCTTGCTAGTCTTTCATGTGGTACCTTGTCAAAAGCGTTGGCAAAGTCCATCTACCGGAAGTCCTTTGTCTAAGTAGCTGGTCACCTTTTCCAAAAATGTGTTCAGGTTTATAAGGCAGGATCTAATTTTACAAACCCATGTTGCGTTGATTTTGCAAGATTGTTCACTGAGATGATGAATGATTCCCCTCCCTTAGAATAATAGAGGCAATGAAGCTACGCCCTAATGATCCTTTCTCGAATTTAAGGCTAAAACATTCACGTATATCCTATTAATATATTTCTATCTTTCATATGATTACTTATCTTCACTCTTCTATGTCTTGACTCATTATTTCGTCCGGGTTCCACTGCGCGCATGATATCAACGATTTAGGTAAATTTCCACCATGAAAACCAAGAGGAGATAGCTGGGAGTGTCCATCTTAGCCTGTAGGTAAACAAAAGACTTAGCCTTGTGCTAATTCGTATCTTGGGTCTGCTTAGTGGGTACGTTGTTCTTGGCACGGAGCACTCTATCTTATTTTTCACATTATTCAATATGTTGTATTATTTTATTCAATATCATTATTCAATATGTAAGGAAAATATTTAGATTTTCTGCTTGCTTAAGGATACAACCTATGACAGATTTTATAATCTGTTTTGCCTTTTGTTGCACGAACAAAATGCTGATGTATATTTATGCATGGGAGTTCAAGAAGTTAAAAATAACTTATGTATAACAGACCATAGAAATAAGCTCGTATTAAGAGAAGTTCCCTCCCCCGGCTCCTCTTGGTTCCCCAATCCCAACACACGCCCATGTTGGCAACTAGGCTTTTTCTGCCGCCCGTCCTCTCGAGCGCTCCCAACGTCATTAAACTGATGTACTAAATTGCCCGAACCTAACCAAACGAGGACCCACGAATAGAAAACGGAACATTACGTCAAATTTGCCAACGGCTGTGAATTTTAGTTCAGAAATTTTTGTCCTTAGGGAATATATACGTCAAATTTAGGAAGCTTACAGGGTGGAATAAAAGTGGTTTACAGTGAATAGCCCTAAAACAGTAGCTGCACACTAATAAATGACAGATGTTAGGAAATAAATTATACAACGTGGGAGTAGTAAATGTATGGTATTAGAAGTTGTTGAAGGTAAGTCTATACACAGTTTTAAATATAAATGGGATAAGCCAAATGTAATACTCATTGCATATACCACTTAATTGTAGTTCATAATGCCGGACTTGGAGCAGACGGAAAAATTCTACAAGTACACCTAGGAGAGTACACACGCAATGTTAAGAAAAGCACGCTATGGGAAGAGTTCAGATCTGTTCTCACATATATGAGCCAGCAGATCGAACGCCAGGTACTGGGCCCCACCTTTTAGCAGCCGACTACCAATCACTGGTTCTTTACTATCTTGATACAAAAGTAATAGGTCGGGAGCTGCAAATATGTAATCCGCACTGTTAAATAGCTGGGGTCTAAGAGCTGAAGCATAAAGGGTAAGCACATATAGGTGTGTACTTGTTACTGTCCCCCCTCCCCACACACACAACCGTGCCAACTCACTTGTGTAACTATACGTCACGAGACCATGACTGGAGGAGGGGCTGAAAGGGGGGAATATACCAATAAAGGTAATGAGAGGAGAGGGAAAGGTTAGGCTAAGTTTGACTAGGTTAAGTTTGGTGGTATTGTCTATCAATAAGGTTGCAATCTACCGTGTCTTTAACCTTCCAATAATACACAGACCCGTACACACGCAAACATGGATTTACTGTGCAAAAAATGAAAGAAAAACAAATGGGTACGTCCGCCTAGGTCCTCCATATGTAGTTACTCTGATATTGACCCAACCTTGAGTCACCCAGCTCTCTCACTCTCTCTACTGCGGACTTCCCAGAATGTCTGGTGTTGCTGATCATTGGTCCTTTTAATCGACTTGAGAATGGTCCAGGACGGACCGAAACATCGTCTTCCCCTCACCTTCTAGTGTGTAGTCTGGTCAACATACTTCAGCCACGTTATTGTGACTCATCGCCTGTATTGGTCCTTTTATGTAACTTCCTACATTGGTTTAGTGCTTGGCTTGAGGCCTATCAAATGTGAGAGGGTTATTGTATATTGAAATTGAAATACTTTAGTTATAAACATAACATGTAATATCAGTTAAGAGCTTACTGACCGCCCACCAAATGCACTTGAAGCCTGGATATTGTTCAAGCCTAAAGTAAACTTTCAGTGTGTATATACACTTTGAAGCAGACTACACCTCTCGGTATAGGCTACAGGTATATATTCCCCAGAATGACCGATGTTATTTGTCATTCCATTTTCCCTCGATCCACCTTCCAATTAACCTTCCACTCCCCCTTATTTGATATGGACTGTGTTCAGGACAAGAATTTTTTGCTGGCTGTATAGCAAGCAATCGTATCAAGGTAAATAACCCTCCTGAGATTGATGGGCCTTAAGTCTCACACCAAACCAAAGCTAAGATGGAGCATATACGGCAACAGCGAATCCACGAATGCAACTGCCCGAAACGCGGTGCGTGTTAGTGGCTTTGCAAGAATGTAATAACGCCAATGTTATGTACACTCACAAATTCAATGTGCCTTCTTGTATATAAATGAGTAAATAAATAATTAAATAAAGTTAAAAAATACACAAAATGAATGTGCGCAGTCTTTCGAGGGAGCAACACTAGAAACAATTTATCCTCATGAACAAATCCACAAGGGCCGTGACGAGGATTCGAACCTACATCCGAGATCATCCCAGTAATTTATCCTCATACTGCTTGTCCAAGTTGCAGTCGACCCTCCTCCTCAAAACACTTTCTTTAACATCTTGTGTTTTCAAAAATCAGTATTTTTTTCAAGTAAATAATTATTTTATATATTTAAATTGTATAATTAGGCGCTACCTCGGAGCACGTTGCTTTACACACAGCAGTGGTTTTGCAGGCGCCTGATAATGTAGCTAGGCTGCGTCTGGAAGGTGTGTATTTCAGATAATAGGAAAAGAAAATCAACCCAGTGCCCAGAATTCAGTTTATTTGGATACAGAAAACATTACAAAACAGGGCAATTTGAAAGTCAATATCTGAATATTAAGGTTCAAGAGATGACTTCACTTGGTATACAGTGCATAGAGGGGTGACTGGGATTAACGTGCATGAAGCCGTTTAGAAGTGCGATTCGAACATTGACAGCGAGCGAAACACTGTCCAAGAAAACTTTTTAACGTCATTCATTCAGTTGTGTGTATAGTTTCTGTGTATTTCATAAGCAGGGTGGGTGGCGGCTAGAGCAGTTGGCCAATGTTTATGAGGACTGGCTGCATTCAGCGACTAACTTATGTGAATTACACAGTAAAATGTGTGTGTCTCGACCCACACCCTGAGACGTACCAGCGTCAACTGCACTACACTCGAACTGAAGATTGAAGATTGATGAAGATTAAGCCACCCAAGAGGTGGCACAGGCATGAATAGCCCGTAGGTGGTAGCCCTTTTGAGCCATTACCAGTATCAAGAGCTGATACTGAAGATCTGCGGAGGTGCGACTGCACCCTGCGTGACGGGAGATGTCTCCTGTCCACTCGTACTCATCACACTCCATCCATATAACTTGTACTACTTCTAGCGTACTAAAAGCGTGCACACACATAGTTTGCAAGCCATATGATCTGAAAACTCTGATTCTAATCTAGTAAATGCAATTAGGGGATGGGCCTTAACCTGAGTAACGTGAGGGAACTACTTGTCACCGTCTTGCGAATGGTCCTGGGTGTAACTACGATACTCCTCCATGACCTGCTGGGCGGTGAAGGCGCAGAGCGGGTAGTTGGTGGGGCAGGAGTGGCCCTCTTGGCCATGCCACGCTGCCTCGTCATAGTTGCCATACGTAGTGCCATCACTCTCTCCCGTACCTCTGCGTGGGTCAAAGAGCGAGAGATTTGACGTAAGTCATGACCTTAATGTATACAAGAATAACAATTTTGCGAATGTATAGGCAGTTTACTAAGTTATACATCCATTAAAAAAACAAAATATGCGCGATACATTTTATATGAGTTCAAGATATTGTGGGCAAACACATGGACAGGTTTACCCCTTTCTTAGTATACATGCATTGAGTGTACTTCAGTATTGAACCATGTTATGGACTACAGTAGGCTTTGGTGGATGGTCAGTCGCCTCTTGGTGGCCTTAATAACCTTCCAGCGGTAAGCGGTATCATGTGAAGGTTACGAATTTGAATCATAAAATAACTGGGATGAAATAAATTTTTATTTTTATGAAAAAAACTTAAGTTTTATATACTCTTAATCAGTAATGCGAATATAGGAACATGGAAGTGTGTAAACCTATTTAAAGTACACAAACATTATCACCCACTGACGGTAGACATTTTTTATTAAACGTAATATTTCGAACTTATAATCGTAAAAATCATGATGTTTGACTTGTTCTCTGATAATTACTTATTTGACTTGTTCTCAACACTAAACAACCACATGTGGAAATCATGATATGAAAGTGAACATCGAACTGTTAACTGATCTTTTAACTGTTTACAAAAGACGTTTTCCTATTTTGAGTCACATGAATTAGATACATACTGTATATCCAGACTTGAATCAATAAGAAATAAATTTACTGCTAATGTAAATTTTTTTGTATTGAATGCTTCAGAAAAAAACATGTAATACATTAATTTAGCGATGGACGTGTTAGGCCAAACATTTTATCATTCAAGTTCAAGTTCAAATATGTTTATTGAGATAAAAATGAAATACATCTCAAAGGGATAGAGTAGCTTAGGCTATTCCTACCCCCCATTTCATCATTAATAACAGATAATGCTTCATTTACTGCAGTTTGTAACATCCGGATTATGTGAAACGAATTTTTTTACTTTTCCAATTACGAAAAGAAAGTAGCGATCTCGGTTGATTGGTAATAAAAGGAAGATTCGCGTAATTTGATGAAATTTGCGGAGAAACAAAAAATCCATAGATGCTCGTGTAGCATCTATGGATTTTTTTAAATTATGAATATGAAGGAAATGCAATTTCCTTTGAGATTATTATAATTATTTATATATATATCATGGAGTGGGCGCGATCATATGTTTGGAAATTTATAGGAACTTATCGTCATAAGGGTTGGGAATACAGCTATATATTTCAAAAGCCGTTGCTGTAATTATGTCAAGTCAATATTAAGACAGCTTTACAAACATGTAGTGAAATAAACAAAACAAAATTCTTTGAAATAATTTTGTCGGAAGGCTTCAGAGTACTAAAATATTTGTCCTTTGTACACAGTACATTGTACTAAAGATTATATATATATATATATGTTATCAACCCTCTGGAGCTTGCACACACACACACACACACACACACACACACACACACACACACACACACACACACACACACACACACACACACACACACACACACTAGATCATGGGTGTAACATCGACTTACTTGTAAGGAGTGAGAATTTGTATCTCGTCTTCAGCTAGCTCTCTGGGGTCCTTCTGGGCCAGCTCACACACCAGCCGCAGTCCGCACTGATCCTTGTCTTCGGCTGCGATCTACAACACCATACATTACACTATAAAATTGTAGTAAAGAATGTAAAATATTTAACCTTAAAACTTGATAAGACGTAACTGGCAATATTTTGTTGTTGTTTATGGCCTTCATTGCAAAGTTTGCCTTTATATATTGCGAAGATCCACCAATTGTTTACACTAACGACGTGAAAAAGATAGGTTCACTCACTTGACTGTAAGTCTTCTTGATCTCTGCATCCTCCAGAAATCCCTGAATGCTCCTGCGTCTCCTGCGACCGTAGTTGCCCCCACACCAGCCGCAGGACTCCCCGCAGCCGCCGCAACCGCAGTCAGGGCAATAATCACTGCTGCCCCTGCCCCCATAGTTGTACTGACTCTGCCGCCCTAGCTCGTACCCCTGCACATCATATAAACATTTTAATGTTTTTTTGTTCTATTCTATCAGTTGTCTGTCACGACATTATATTAGAGATTATATCACGACATTATATTAGAGATTATATCACGACACTATATGCCTGTCCCTGATTATATTAGTGTCCACATGTATGTTTCCATATTCATATATATTTAGACATTTACGAGAGCTACTCAAGTTACAGCCCCGCTCCTGTGCCGGGTAAGTCCACTACGGGCTCGCCATAGCCCGTGCTACTTGGAACTTTTTGTTCCCAGTAGCTGAATCTTAAACAACAAACAACAGAGAGCTATACTCACTCCAACGAAGGCAAGAGCACTGACTGCCAATGCTCCTCCACCTCCGCCGCCTCCGTGACGGTGGTGGTGGTGGCAAGTGGAGCAGGGCTCAGCCACCACCACCTTCACCAACATTGCCGCCACCACTGTCAACACACCTCGATGCATCTACAATAGGGTAATGTTCATGTAAAAGTTACACCAGATTCGATATACATATATTAAACCCAAGGGGGGACCAAAGACTCAAATTTTGTTTTGTGATGTTATATGAAGTTCTAGTGGAGGAAAGACTTACCTTCCAGTAGTCTGCCAGACGCAAGTGCTCAAGCCCAAGTCATGGATGTCTTTTATAGAGCAGCTCGGGAGAGCCGCGGGCTCCGGTAAGTTCCCCGAAGCTGCCTTTGTTGTCGTACGCCCCCGTCGGCAGTGTTGGCTTGTTAAACAAAACATCACGCTTGTCTGAAGACGCCTCTGCCACAAGCCGATTCACTGTAAGGTTCACGCATCGACTTAAGATACAGTGAATCTCGACACTGGCACAGTGCAGTTGTGGACGCCTGGTGTTTGCGTTAGCGCTTTAAGAGCCACATGCGCCAAGGACTAAACTGGGTAAAAAAACAAAGTAGCGAACAAAGGACTCAGACAATGACCATGGAATTCCCTGGAACAATGAGCCGGAGTATCCTATAGAACGCTGGTTCACAAACTGGGGGCTTTGGTCCCCCTGGGGGCTTTGGCCCCCCCTGGGGAAGGGGGCGCTTTTGCAATATGTAGGGGACAATAAGTTGAGGCGGCGGTGTACAGGTTATGATATCAGAGGGGGGGGGGACGGAAATAACCAGCTAGTGTAGTTTTTTTTATAATACTGGGTATAGGGGGGCCATTAATTAAGGACAACATGGAAAAAAGGATAATGACCATAATGAATTTGGGAACCATTGCTATAGATGATGTACCTGACATTTTATATAAAAAAATAAATTGGATAAATAAACACAGTTGCATTACTTTAAAAACTGTTGCTAAAGATAATAAAGTGAGGTAAACTGTAGCCTACACTAAGGGGGACTTAGTGTTGGGCCAAACCCTTCAGTTGTAGACGCAACCTTCAACGCTAATGGGGGATGCGGTGTGCGCGAACGTCTCTGTATTTACTCTTTGTGCCTGCATAATCCCGCTGTTAGCTCTTAGACCTCGCCTTTTCAATCGATATATTTTTCTTCTGGTATGTCTACATATATATTTGTCTCGCACACACACGCACGCTACTGGACGTGGCAACAAGAAACTTTTTAAGCCAGAATGTCAGGGGGGGGGCACAAGAATGATATCCCCTAGAAGGCAGCAGGCCGTAGCAGCTGTCTCCTCCCCCAGAAACCTATTTACTGCTAGATGAATAGGGGGCATCACATGAATAGGGGGCATCGCATGAAAGAAACTGCCCATTTGTTTCTGCCTTGGCCGGAATCGAACCCGGGCCCTTAGGACTATGACCCACGAGCGCTGTCCACTCAACCACGAGGCCATCTTTCTGCGCCCTGAGCGCAGAAAGATGCGGGACACTACATTAAGCTGCTAGGATTTTCCACAAAGTCTGCATGTAGTGTTGGGAGTTGATTACCAGAGTTTATGTGAATGGATTAGCCTTGATTGGATGAACTTGAGAATGGATCATTTGTTTTGGTGTTAGGCCTAAGGTCTCTCAATTGCGGATGGGTTATTAATTAAAGCTTCTACATACCTGAAGAGGGTTCTGAGAGTTCTTCTACTCCTCGAGCCCGGCCTGGGGGCTACAGGCTGGGCTACAAGAGTTACAACTACAAGAGCTTAATTATTACTGATCAGCTAGGAAGTCTATTTTAGTCCTGAACATAGTCCAGGCATAAAATAAACTTTCAGTGCATGAAAAATGGGAAGAGCAAAGAAACACATGGTGGTGCAGAAACACAAAAGCCTAAACTACTGGACGTGGCAACAAGAAACTTTTTAAGCCAGAATGTCAGGGGGACTCACAAGAATGAGAGGCAACGATGTACCAGCTAGATATGACCTGGTATTCATTTTGAAGGTTTCAGACATGAGGAAATCAACTTTGAAGCTTCCGTGGGAATGAGCGATCGCAATGTACTGATGTATGAGTATCTGGTAAAAAGAGGGATAACTTAATCAAGGAAGGGACCAGAAAAACAAAACCGAAGGGGGAAGCTTACGAGAAGATAAGAAAGTTCTTAACAGATATACCATGGGTAATAGAGATCAGAGGAAAGGCTGCGCAAGACATGATGGACTATATCTCCCAGAAGTGTAAGGAGGCAGCAGACAAGTGAGTCAGTCCAAAAGGGAAAAAACGAAATGCAAACGAGGAACACATGATTAATCAGAGATGTAAGATAGCAAAGCAAGTTGCATTGCTTTGAATTAATTAATCACTTGCATTAATAGAATTCAAGAGAAGGGTAGGCAGACTGCATATTTCTGGATTGTTAAAAGCCTTTAACTTATTACCCCATAAGAGACTAGTGCATAAGTTGGAGATGCAAGCAGGAATAAAGGGGAAGGTGTTCCAGTGCATAAGAGAGTATCTAAGCAACAGAAGACATAGTCACTGTGATGGGTGAGGTCTCAGAGTGGCGATATGTCACTAGTGGAGCACACAGGTTTCACTCCTTGGTCCTTTTCAGTTTCTGATGTATGTAAACGATCTTCCAGAGGGAAGACTCATTCCTCTCAATGTTTGCCGATGATGCAAAAATTATGAAGAGGATTAAGACAGAGGAGGATAGCAAGAGGCTACAAGATGACCTAGACAAACTGAAGGAATGGTCCAAAAAAATGGCTACTAAGGTTTAACTCCAGCACAGTATATGTAAAGTAATGAAGCTAGATGTAGGGAGCAGGAGGCCAAACACAAGGTAACAAAGGGGAGAAGTCCTCCATGAAACAGACAGATAGTGTGATATCTTTCTATCACACTGAACCTGTCTCCTGAAGTCCACATCAAAACGATATACAGTAATCAGTAGCGTGGGTATGAGTATGCGGTTCCAGCACGGAGTCCATACTTAGTCAAGCATAAGACGAAGCTGGAGAAGGTTCAAAGGGATGACACTAGCTAATTCCAGAACTAAGAGGTAGGAGTTACGAGGAAAGGCTGGGTGAATTGCACATCACATCGTTGTAAGACAGAAGAGTTAGGGAAGACATGATTACCACATACAAAATTCTCGGGGGAATAGACGGGGTAGATAAGAACAGATTATTTAAGACGGGTGATACTCGCACAAGGGGACACAGAAACTGAGTACCCAAATGAGCCACAGAGACATTATAAAGAACTTTTCCAGTGCCAGAGCAGTTAATAAGTGGAACGAATTAGGAAGTGATGTGGTGGAGGCTGACTCCATATACAGTTTCAAATGTAAAAGATGTTCCTGAGTCTATAGGGCTCTTATCATCTGCACACCAGTTGAGAGGCGGGACCAAAGGGGCCCAAGCTCAATCTCCGCAAGCACAATTAGGCAGGTACTCGTCTCGGTTGATGGAGCAGTGCTGACCTTAACCTTGGTAATGGAGATACACATGTACTCCCAAGTCTCCCCTCCCCCCACCTCCCCTGGGGGGAGGGGGAAGGGTGTTGACGGCAGGATATCCATGTTTAGTCGAGGTTATCATTGAGACAATAGGAGCTCCCTGGACGAACTTGTCTAAATAGTTGACGATACAGCGACTTTGAGCAATGGGTTTCTTTGAATAGGTCTGGCCACAGTGACAGCATGTATGTGTGTGTGTGCTCGAAAACGGGAAGAATTGTATTCTAATATTTTTTTTTACTTTCTAATTTTGTTTTTGTTAATTAACAAAACCCATATATTATTGTTTACACTAAATCCACACCCATATATTATTGTTTACACTAAATCCACACCCATATATTATTGTTTACACTAAATCCACACCCATATATTATTGTTTACACTAAATCCGCTACTCGTAGAATTCCTAAAATTGTCGTATATACACTACAGAAGATTAATATATTTAATATTGCAGACAATAGCAGCAATCATTATATGGATAGCGTAATAACAGGGGAACATTAGCGCCTTTGGTGGCGCGCGCGCGCGCACACACACACTCTCGCAAGAGATTGTTCTGGAAACTGGAACATATTGTAGGGGTGATAGGTAAGCTTCTAACATAGATGAAAAATGTTCTAACTGATAGAAAAAGGAGGGCAGTAATCAGAGGCAATGTATCGGACTGGAGAAATGTCACAAGTGGAGTACCACAGGGTTCAGTTCTTGCACTGGTGATGTTCATTGTCTACATAAACGATCTACCAGATGGAATGCAAAATAATATGAACATTTTTGCTGATGATGCTAAGATAATAGGGAAGATAAGAAACTTAGATGATTGTCATGCCCTTCAAGATGACCTGGATAAAATAAGTATATTGGAGCACCACTTGGCAAATGGAATTTAATGTAAATAAATGCCATGTTATGGAATGTGGAATAGGAGAACATAGACCCCACACAACCTATAAATTATGTGAGAAATCTTTAAAGAATTCTGATAAGGAAAGAGATTTAGGGGTAGCTCTAGAGAGAAAACTATCACCTGAGGATCACATCAAGAACATTGTGCGAGGAGCCTATGCTACACTTAATAATTTCAGAATTGCTTTTAAATACATGGATAAAAAAAAAAATATTAAAGAAATTGTTCACAACTTTCGTGAGACCAAAACTGGAATATGCAGCGGTTGTATGGTGCCCATATCTTAAGAAGCACATTAACAATATGGAAAAGGTGTAAAGACATGCCACTAAGTGGTTCCCAGAACTGAAGGACAAGAGCTACAAGGAGAGGTTAGAGGCATTAAATATACCAAAACTAGTAGATAGAAGAAAAAGAGGCAATAAGATCACTACGTACAAAATAGTAACAGGAATCCCTTCATGCAAACTGCACCTATTCTCAAGAAGAAGAAGAGTAACAGGAATTGATAAAATTGATAGGGAAGATTTCCTGAGACCTGGAACTTCAAAAACAAGAGGCCATAGATGTAAACTAACTAAACAAAGATGCAGAAGAAATATAAGAAAATTAACTTTCGCAAACAGAGTGGTAGACGGTTGGAACAAGTTAGGTGAGAAGGTGATAGAGGCCAAAACCGTCAGTAATTTCAAAGCGTTATATGACAAAGAGTATTAGGAAGACGGGACACCATAAGCGTAGTTCTCATCCTGTAACTACACTTGGATAATTACACTTAGGTAATTACATACTTTAAAGAAACACAGTTTATCATTAAAACGCAGACAAAATACAGTATATTGGAGGTAAGTCATCAGCAGATCAGCATCAAGTATGTTGTGACCACCACCTTTCATATCTAACTAAA